GACATTATTCTTAATTTAAGTAAGAATATTAAAGTATATTTATTAGAAATCTGGCAGGGCTAATTTATTAGTTTAAATAAAGTAGAACATTCAATCTAAAAAAACTTATCTTGTAGTTACTATTTTAGCCTCTCCAACTTACCTCAACTCTAACAAGTTTCCTCTTTCTTCAAACTAGTAATTTAGTCTTCCCATATTCTTAATCTATATACTTCAGTAGTCTAGGTGGAATTGAGAATCATGTCTATCTCATCCTGGCATCAGAATATTTTTTGTATTTTTATTTTATTTTCAAATAATTACTTCTTTGCCCAATTACAAAATCTCACTTGTGTTATTATTTTTTGTAACAATATTTCTTTCTTTAGGTTCTAGATAATAATACTCATATGGTATATTTTACATGATATCTATATTTAATATTTCATGTTATAGCTCAATTGAACCTCTATAGCTGTTGTGGTTCAAGTTTTCTTATATGGTACAATATTGTTGAAATAAAGAAATTCTCACTTTTATTCAAGTTCACGACTTAATTCTACTAGATATCTAATCACAATGCTTTTATCCACTAGCTTTGAGGAGATATTTAGTCTAATTAATTCAGTTCACAGAATATTTTTACTATTTTTTGTGTATTTTTGAAAAATTCCTGATTGGTACAATTATAAAATCTCACTTACTCTATACTTTTCTCGATAACAATTCTGGTTTTATGTAATATAATCTAAATTTTATATTACATACTCTAAGCTATGCTGATATTCTTTCTTCCCAGTTGCTGCCAAATTGATCATCTATTACTGTTGTGGTTCATGATTGTTTATGTTGTGTATAAGTTTTAAAAGTGTCCCATAACTAGGGCGTGTCCCATAACTAGGTCAAATACATTACCGTGGAGCTCCGCCATAACTAGTCACTCTACTGAGCCAATACTGCCCGGTCCACGAGGAGATAACGTGTTGCAGACCAGAAAAAATGACAATCCAGTATGTGAGTGGCTTGAGTAGGCTAAGGAGAGTTAATATAGTACTATATGCACTGAATGAAAAGCATCAGTGGTAAATCAACGGCCTTGTATGTCACCTAGCAACCGCAGAGCCAGCTCATAAGTATGGTAAGACTTGTTCGGCATGGGCAAAGATAAGTTACTATCGATCACAATATGTATCCTGTGTTGGAGCAGTTTTAAGTAAGTGTTTGGAACTACATAGTATCTCAAGGATCTAGGGCTACTGGAACGCATACCTCTAGGTACACATTTCTGTATTAAAAACACATTCAATTTAAATAATTGTTGCAGGTTTGGAATCGCTCAATCAAGGTGTATCTGACCTAGAGACTAGATTTTTAAAATGGGCGTCGTGGTGTTGAATTCTGAACAGCTTGGAAAAGTAAGCCCGGAAACTTTTGGTGGGGTTTCACCGAAACCCTGGAGATTTGTATGGGCCCACCAAGTTTCGGCTCAGACTTTCCCCGAAAAAGGCTGTCAACCTGTCTTATTACAGAATAGCGCTGAATCACGTGGGGAGCGGCTGAGGGAACTGAGGTAACCCAATCTTGGAATGTCAGTTGTGCATGTTTACGGGTCCCGAGGGATCCCTGGGGTGACGCGACCCTCAGCCCAGAATCAATGGCCTGAAGGGTTTTCAGTGATGTTGGAATAGAGTCTCTGTGCCTTCTCACATATACTCTAACACGGCCCAGGTTGCCCGTTTAGGCATTTGTGCAAATTACTACTATTGATTTGATTCCGGTATTGAGCAGTCTCCTCGTTGCCCTTCTCTCTTTTTGTTTTCCACTACACACGATTGAGAAAACAAGCGCGGAGACTGGCTCTGCTAGTACACACAATGCGCCCTAATGAGGATCGCCAACTAGCCCAAATTTTAATTACACGCTCTTACCCCCAGGTTCCACCGAAACATTTGCACAAAGTAGATAGGAAACAACACTACACAATACAGAAGGTGCAAGTGCAAGGAAAGATTTTCGAATGTGAATTGCCTAAGCCTAGTTTTCGAGATATGAGCTTTAAGGTAACTGATGACGAGGGGCATATTCCGCCTATAGAAGCAGAGGTACCAGATGCAAGCTAACTGGCGAGAGATGGTCAATCTGGGCCACCCCCCTGGTGACTTTTGTTTCCAGAACGATCACCCTTCCCTGCCAGCAGAACATCGGAGAGACGGTTTTAAGAAGGCAAGCTTATAATTGACTAAGCAACTTAAGCATAACTTCACCGGTCAACGGTAGTTCGGGGTCTATCATTCTCTCAATCGCTACACCCATTGGACTCCAGTAACCAAGCTGTTGACACCTACTCCTTTCCCTCTTGAGAGAGGCTACTCGCTGGCTCTCAAGATACTGTTTCGAAAATTCTCTCACAAGAGACTCCTCTAGTGTGTCCTCTTTTAATGTAGGCATGCCCCAAGGCCACACCCATTTCCCGTCGTCAGAGCCTCTGATGTGGAACTGTCGCCCCCCGAGCCTGTTAAAGGCCTCTATCCAGATTTTACAGGCAGCGCATGTGGGTTTCGAGACAGCAATGTAACTACCTGGTGCGACAATGTCCCACTGATTGCCGTGCTTGGCCTCGAGGTGCTGGATGACCTTAGACTCGCAGTGGACCGGGCATAAGTGGTTAGTTTCGTGAAAGTTTTCAAAGAGCAGCCTCGAATCACTCTCTCCGTGGTCGTGCTCGTACTCGACACCGAGAGCCTCCAATATAGAATCCCAATCCCCTTGCGATGTGGGTAGGATCACTGTGCGAGTCTGGTTCGGGACAACCGAGACGGACAACTGGTATCGCAAGGAGGACCGTAAATGGGGGGATTTGGCATAAGCGATTAACCATTGTGCATGGCGGGTTAAAGCTGTAAGTTTCTCTAGTGCACGCCTAAGCTGGAAAGGGCTACCCGGATGAACATCTAGAACAGAAGCTGGGTTAGCTCAAAGGCTCTAATAACGAAATCCCACCCATAGCAGAATAAGAATACCTTGGAACTCGTTCGCCAAATTCTCACAGCCGGACCCATTACCATCAGCAAGAACAAGCCGTGCCTTGCTATAGGCCAATGCGCTCTCCTTGTAAATTGTTTCCCACTCAATCTCTGTGAGTGGAGTTTCTTCTTTATTGCGAAGCCTACCAAGCAAGCGCAATCCCTCGTAGAACCCAGTGGCCGCATGCAAGAGGTTCAGGTCAATCCCTTGTAACTGACCACCGCGGCGTTTGTACAACTGCTGGACGAGAATGAGTAGATCTGGCCACCACTTCCTCGCTCGCTTCACCAGTTTTTGAAAAGAGAACTCGTGTATTGCGCGAAATATCTCTACCGTTGTCGAACGTACCGTTTCATTTGGATTCGCCCCGTTCGCCCCGCATTCCCCGATCCTGCCCTCTTGGTGTGCATACTCGCTGGAGAGGACTTGCAACTTTCCCCAAATTTTCATAAGGTGTTCGGCAAGGTCCCCCCTAACTGCATCGTTCCCCGCGATTGTGAGATGAACCGCTTGCTCCTGTCGGTGGAACTGTAGAGCTATGGCGATAGACTCTGATTTTTCCTGGGAGACGGATATGCTCGCAAAAGTATCCAAGATAGGAAAGGTGCGAATCTTGGGTTTTGGTTCATAGATAATTGTGTCTTCCGGCCAAAGGTAATCTTCGTCTGGATCGTGTGCAACTTGGTACCCAGTCTGTGCGGTTGCGAAATTCATCAAGGCAGCCAGGTAGTGGGGATCGAGTCCGTTGGCCATTTTCCACAACGAAGATGACGTAAGAGAATGAGGTGGGTAGACCTGACTCAAAGAACGTTAGCACGAGGATAATACCCGAAGGCAATCAGAAAGCACCGGACTGGGGTGAATACAATGAAGGCCCAAGACAAAGAGGTTATGAGGATGGTTTGACCGCCGAAAGGCTTTTGCGTGGCAAGAGGTTGGGTACCAAGTGAATCAGGTCGTAAGATCACTGTTTGTTGTTACAGGAACTGCAGACGTAACGGAAGTGGGGGTGAGGATGGTTTGTGGGAGGTTACGTTGAGGCTGGGACCAAGCAGGTGGTATGGACCCCACATGCCCTCAGCAGCCAAGACATGAGAGACAGCTGTAGTGTTTTTCTACCTCCAGCCCTAGCCTAATTTTTTTTTCGATAACTGTAAAAGGAAAACTTCTCTTATCAACACAGGTTGACACTGTTATCCGGGTAAGTGATTGTCTGGAGTTGGATTGGAGCATGTCAAATCTTGCTCCCACGTGCACCATTCCAGATATTTACATTTTACATCTGACCATGATGAACGCCCACACTCAAAACCTCATCTGTCCCATCATTAACCTCCATACTTGTGTACCAGTCCATAAATGATCATTTTCGCCTCGAGCACCTCTATCACATAGAAGCCGGGAATATTAGGTACTAAGAATGTATTAAAACACACCGAGCCCCTGGTCCATCTGATTCATCCTACTCGTGGTTGGATATAACCAAAAAAGGGAGAAAATCGGCGATTGTTGAAGCCCGAAGCGCGGACACTTGCCTGTTTACGCTTACTACCCTCCAGGGACATGAATCTGGAATTTTGAGGGGATTATTGCGGTTTGAGGCAATTCACACAAGACTCTCCTCTTCTTACCCGCATCACATAATTTGATCCTTTTACTGTCGGGATATTAGTGGGATCGGATTCCGCATATGAACCTGCGGGTTGCTCCTATTTATTTCAACTTGTTTTGTTATCCAGGTTTTTGCTCACTATAGGGACTTTGCGAAAAGACTCTGGATGTGGGTCAAACAGGGCTCTGGGCCAATGAGATCGCTAGAATTTGACTCTGGATCCGAAATCGCAAAGTCTCTATTAGACAATCACTCTCTACCGACCCCACCCACCCACCCCACCCACCAACCAACCCCCTAGCTATCCCCCAGCACCTTACACTGGGTTAATTCAGAAACAGTCCTGTTGTTTAGTCAATTTATGGTTTTCTAGTAAGTGGTTCGAGGGAGGGTAGTGCGAACCTTTTCTATCTTTACACACAAACAAACGATCTGAGATAGAGCGGGTAGGAAGCAAAAGGATTAAAAGTAGAAAAAGAGTGGGGGCAAAGAGCTATAGCGGGAAAAGCAGACCCCACAGACCCTGGGTTTCTCGTGTCCCCTTAGAGACACTTTAATGGGGAAACGAGGGCAGATAGTGGCCGGGAGAGTCAACGATTAAGATGTACTTATGAACGGGTTAGCCAAAATCGAAAAATCAGGGGTTCCCGGAACATTTCTTCCGCAAACTATTACCATTTTCTATCCTGCTAATAATGCCACAGGGTTCCAAGGAAATTCACCCCAGTTTCTTTAGGGCAGGTGGTTGCTGGCGGAGCGTACGGTTGCGATGACCTTATGAACTGGTTAGCCAAAATCCAAAAATCTGGGGTTCCCGGAACATTTCTTGCTCAAAACTATTACCATTTTCTAACCTGCTAACAATGTCGTAGGACTCCAGAGGTCTCCCCCTCTATGTACCCAGGTCCTGTATCGCTGGGCTGTGGATTAGGGGTTCTGCCACTTCCGGCAGCCCAAGTATCTCCCATATCCACATCCGCGGCCGGGGATGGAGGAGCACTGCTATCTGAATCCGATCCCCCAATCCCCATCACCCGCAGGTAAGAGGTGTAGTGTTTGACGCACCGGAGTGCCATGAGCTTATTCAGTCGCTGCTCACTTTTGGTAGGTAGGCCCCACGGCCAGTACCATTTGCCGTGCGAGCCTCTGGTGTAGTATTGCCTCTCCCCAAGTCCATTGAATGCCTGTATCCACTCATGGCAGGCCGAGCAGCTCAGCTTAGATACGCCAATGTAATTAAATGGAGGAACATTAACCCAGGCGCGCTTCCTCTTATTCTTAGTCTCCATGTGCTGGATCAACTTGCATTCGCAGTGGATTGGGCAGCGGTATTCATCCGATGAGAAATTTGCAGAAAGTGTTGCTGCATTCTTAGAGTGCCACTCCATGCGCTCTGCACAGGCTGCCTCCAATATAGACTTCCAATCCTCTGGGACGGCGGGCAGAACAACATTTCGTGAGATTTGTGGGAGAGAGGAAGTCGATAATTTGAATTTTAAGACGGATTGCAGCTGGGAAGATTGGGCGAATCCAATTAAACACTGGGTGTGGAAGTAGAGGCTGGTTAGCTTCTTCAGGGCACGTCGAAGTTGGAACAGGCGGTCAGGAAGATGCTCTAGTAGAGAAGGTTAGTTGGGTTGACAAGAACATGGTAGGAAAACTCGATGATGGCCCATGATACATGCCTTTAAGTCTATCAACTAAAGTCTCACACCCGTGTTCCTTGCCTAGAACACGCTTTGCATGCCGGCTCCCGATTGTGCTATACCTGTAGATTTCTTCCCACTCATGATCTTGAAGCAGGTTTTGCTTGACTCCCCCCCCCCTGTGAAGCTTGTCAAGCAAGGAAAAAACCTTTCCTAGTGCCAACACAGTTTCCAATAAATTTCCCTCAATTCCATCCGGTTCAGCCGTTCCAGTGTGGTTGGACAAAACCGTTGTAAAGGATACGAGGTTATTCCACCACTTATGTTTTTGCTTCAAGAATTTGGCTAAGGAGTACTGATATATCTCGATCAATATCTGTAGCCTTAATTCTTGACTGGGATCCTTGGATGGTTCAGCCATTCTGCCTCCACCTTCTCTTGGTGCCGGAGTCCTGACAGTTGGATAAACCTCCGAGAGCTTTTTAAGTTTTTCCCAGATCGATTTGAGATGGTCAACTAGGCTACTGGGAACCGCTCCATTCTCAGCTATTGTGAGATGGATCATCTCCTTCTCGTGATGGACCTGTAGAGCTATGGCTACAACTTGGCCAGTAGCCTTTGAAACAGAGATGGCGGCAAGTGCATCTAATATAGAAAGGGTCTCTTTGTTGGTAGCTGTGTCCTTAGAAAACCCATTCTCAAGAATGTGGTGGGAAGAGACGAAATTGCGGGACGAAAGGTGATGTCTGTGACCGATTTCAAAACTCAAAAGAGCAACAAGTGCATGCGGGTTGAGTTGGTGGGCCATTATTGGAGGGAATTGCTGAGGACGAGAAGACAAGGTGGTCTGATACCAGGTAGTTGTGAGTTCTTCAGTGTACGGGTCTGGGTGTTTTGGTGAGATGTGGTTAGTTACAGTGCTTTCAGGATACAAGGGTAAGGAAGAGGATAATGGAGAGATACAAAGATGTCTCCGGGATAGAGCCACTTCCGATGGTAATTTTCTTTTGGTGGCTGAATTGCAGCTGGGCCAGCAGGCGGCTCGAAGTAGGGGGGTGGCAGTTGCCCTCTGGTTATGGGGAGGAATGGGGTCAAAGCATAGTAGGCTGGAGGAGGAATTTTGTTGCAGGGGTTGGGGTGGGATCGTCCTGCTGGAGGAGGTGGGGGAGGTATTTCTGTCTTAGGGGGATGTGCAGGGGTGTTTTTTTACGCCCGAGAGGCTCTCTAGTATGTAGGTGCGTAACTTCTCACGTATGTTATTAGGCCGCGCAAGCATCGCAGCTTGGTTCAAGTTTGCTTCTAAGTGACAGCCATGACCCTTGCTACTGGATGGGCCTTTTGGCCTAGTGGGGCATTTATAGATACTCCTAGGCACTCATTCTGCAACAAGTGAAGATGGAGTATGTTGAATTAACACTGAATAGGAGAGGTGGCTGATCATAGAACAGTAGAGTGATTCAACCATTGCTTCAGAATGCTCTTTCATAACACTGGCAGTTGCAAATCCTCAAAGGATTCGGGGGGACATATCCCGTAAGGTGATGGCACGGGGCGGGGCACTAGGGGGGGTGCAATATGTGGACTATAATTTTCCGTCAAGTTCCAGGAAAGCAGCTCTCATGAGAGACGGCAAGCCACACAACGCAAGACATGCTATCGGAGACAATATACGGAGGGAGGAGGAATAATGGGAGATCACTGGACATCCTATAATGTGAGCTAGGCTTTCTCAATACCTATGGTATCCAGTGAAGCTCTTAGTCTCCTAACTTCCTTGTCACATTGAATTATTCTGAAATTCTGGGTTATGTAGAGCAAGCACTGCCGTGGTAGAGTGTGGCATGGAGTTACTATGTTCGTCCCTTGCTCATTCAGCTTCGGGTCATATTCCCGATTTCAAGAATGGGAATGCTCTGTGTTAACTTGAATGATATCACCGTAAATCAGTAACGTCACGCACGGGGAAGTGTCACAATACCGGGAAGTGACACTGTTTCAGATTGCGCAATTAATAGAAATGTCAAAGCGTATCAACACTCCCGGAACCTCAATTTTCAAGCTATCACAACAAAAGACATGCCAGAAGAACGCCAAGAGAAAGAATAAATAGAGATAAGTAGAGTAGAGAAAGGAAATGCCTGAAGAAAGAAAAAAAGGTTAGATGATGCCGGTAAGGGGAAGAGGAGGGGGGGGGTCATACCGGGTAGAGAAAAAATGGTTAATCAATAGTAGACTTGCGAGTACGTAGGCTCATACGCAAGGGAAGCGTTGGTGGAGGTTGGCTAGATGGAGAGAGCAGCAGGGAAGGCGTGGGGAGGGGGGGACGGCCTAAAACAATTACCGAAGACCATTCAGAATCGCTGATATCTTCCGGTTCACTTTCATCACTGGAAACCTCCTCAGGATCCATTACCAGCACATATGGAGTTTGTGCCAATGTGATGATATTTGTACACCCCCGCTGGGGCCTAGGTGTTGAGGGTTTGGGAGGAGGAGAACGGGTAATTGCAGGTTGTCTCTTGGCCTTTAAGGCTCCTTTCCGGACCTGCAGGGGAGTACTTCCTGTCCCTTTTTGTAATTTTAATCGTGCCTGTTTTTGTTTATCTTTTGCCAGACGAGCATCCCTTAGCTCCATGAGTGCTGCTCCATCAAGTACCCGTGCTTCACTCAGCTTCTGCAGATCAGTTTCGTTGTAGAGCTTGTCGGTGCTTTGAAGCTTCAAGCTCAGATCC